AATTAAAAAGCATACTCAAATCTCTATGATAATAATTGAAAGAATCCTATTATTTTTCATTTAAACTCATTCCATCAATTCATCGAATGGAACGATCATTTCTTTCAAAGTTTTCAAGCCTTGGTAAATTACTAATAAGAAATTTTGAAGAATTAAAAATGTAATACATCCAATTAAAAGTTTGAAATTGACATAAATTTTGTTACAATCGATTATTTCTTTTTTTGAATTTATTAAAAATAATGCCAACTCTAAAGAACGAAAATGTTTGAAATTGTTTAATTCAAAGCATTCTACATCGAAATCGAAAACAGACAGCAACAATGTATTATTTTAATATAAAAAAAAAACAAGCGACGTCGGTTGACATTTACCATTTACAGATTTATGAATCTAAAGTAACAGCTTATAATAATATTAATAATTTCGAAAAGAAACACCATGAAATCTTTCAGCGTTTGAATATGTGTTTTGTGACAATGAAAGTTAAAATAACATTTGATTTTGTAAACATCTCTTTCAATGTAATCCTAAAAAACGAACATCTTTTCTTAGTTTTTCAATGCTCACGCTTAATAATTACTACAAAGTTGCCAATAATGACGAGAATCCTTCAAATTTTCAATAATTGCAAATGATTTAGGCTATTTAGATCAAACAAAAAGATTGACTTCTTATTTTTTCAGATATGTATTCTGTGTCTAACTTAGATATTCAATTTTTAATCGTTTACATTATGAATAAATAAACCTCATAACAAGTTCATCGTTATCAAACCATACAACATAGACAGATACGTATTTTTGTGAGAATAAAATCTTTTGTTGAAATGTAAGATTTTGAAAGGTAAGGTTCATTTGTTAGCAGATGCTCCATTCCATTCGTTGGATCTTCAAAGTTCTCAAAGAGAAAATTTATTCGTAGGACTACTATTCGAATAATACTTTTCAATCGTTTTTTTAAGTGATTGTAACGTTTATTATCTAATTTCTAAAGACATTCAACTTAAGTATTTTAAATATTTTATAGCATTAAATTGATATAGATTAATGAGTGAACAATAGGTGAGCTAATAAAATGAGCCTCTCAATACTTCGATCGCTAACTTATTTTTTTCTTTTCAACCTCCAGATCTGTTTGTTTTTCCAGTAAATCTCAAGTCAAATTCTCTATAAGAGGATTGATCAGATATATTTCTATGAAGTTTTATGAAGAAAAACTAAGCGAAGAATTCCCCATGTAACTATTTTAAGGGTTAGCGACGCGTTTTCTAGCGTTTGTGTAATATAACGTGACGCGTTAAAACGCGTCCAAAATGCAACATTTCAGGGCGTTCAAACGCGTTTCATTCAATAAATGCATCTACACTGGTTTGAATTCGTGCGTTTAGTTGCGTTTAATTTATTTACAAAAAAAATTTTTAAAATAATCGTCACCCTATATTGGAATCGAACCGACGCACCATAGCGAGCTATGATATAAGATTGAAATCCTGTCAGTGATCGAATGGTAATTTTTCAGCGACAACTTGAACCGAGATTTGAACACGCGACCAATTGATTGCGAACCAAGCACAACTAGCTCTGAGCCATCCATGACTCGAAAATTGTTTCTATGTCATTGAACCAAATGAATAATTCTTTTTTCTATCTTCAATATAAGGTTTCACAATGGAGATATTGTGATTTATTTTTACTTCGTGAAATAATTATAAATAAAATATTTATATTTATTATATCCATAAAATAGAAAATTTACATTTATAAAATAAAAATGAAGATTTTAGATTTTTATTTTAAAAAATGAAGATTTTTTTATTTATTTTTATTTTGTAAATATTATAAATATGAATTTTTATTTATGATTTATCTGTATTTCATAAAATAATCATATATAAAATATTTAAATTTACAAAATAAAATCCTTTTTTTCATAAAATAAAGATAATTAAATTCGTTATTTTTGATAAAATAGAGAAATTTAAGAATGAAAATAGTTTATTTAAAGTTAGACAATTACACAATTTAAAATGAAGATAACACAGTTTTCTCCGAAATATCTGAAAAAAATAAAATCTTAGATTTTTATGCGAAAAAAATCATCAAATTCTTTTTTCTAAAAATGAAAGACTCATTTTTTTACTTTATGAAACCAAATAAAAAGTCATTTATTATTATATCGTTAAATATAAACAAAACTATTTGTATTAATATTATATTTTTAAATGTAGAAAACTTATAATTTGAGCAATATTTTTAATTTTTAATAATTCAAACATCGTTATATATGTATTGACAATTCAACACGCATCAACTTATTTCAAACAAAAATAAAAGGATATTTTTTGTCATCTACTCAACAAAAAATAGTAAATTTAAATTTAAAAAGATCAGCTTTTTTGTGCATTCCTTTTTTTCCAAATAATGCCAATAAATATTCAATATATTTTGACTAACACAAATTAGAAATAATAAACATAAATCATTTTTAGCGGCTGAAAAATAGCTTCTTTTAATTGTTGAGTATATTTCTAAACGCGTGAAAAGGTTTGGAGCAGACCAACGCGTTTCAAACGAAACTCTAAACGCATGTGTACGCGTTTATCTCAGTTTTTGCTATCAAGCTCGTAATGTTCTTTAAACGCGTTCAAAGCAAACGCATTTTCATTATTCTTTAATACGAAAACGCGTCGAATCGCCAGCATTTTCACTAAAAACGCGTCAGAACGCCAACATTTTCAACAGAAACGCATCTAGCCGCGTCCATTGTGCGTTTCGTGGTTACATGGGCATAACAAATATAATCAGGTATAATTGATGTTTTTATATTTGTTTTTTCTGAAATATTTTCATATAAAAAACGGATATGATTTAAATATACTGGATTTATAGGAAATTGAAATATAGAATCACAATATTTAATATAATCATAAATAAAATTATTTAGAAATAATGTTTCACATAATATTCCATGAGTTTGTTTAATAAGTTTAGTTAGACACATCATCGCAATTGAACAATTAATTGATAAATAACCTTGATTTGATATTGATTTAATTAATGAAAGATGACGTTCATTATGACATTTATTAAATGTTTGCACACATTGTCCATCTCCACATGGAAAATCACACCAATTAGTTCGACATGAATGTTCTTCACAACAAAATGTTGGATCTTGAAAACAATTATTTGGATATGAAATATCAACGAATTCATCTGAACGATCAAGACAATCTGCATCACCAAAACCATTTTCCCAAAATTTTTCTGGAATACATAAACCATTATGATATCGATATTCATTTTCTTCACATTCATTTATTTCCATATCAAAATAATATGCTTCATCTAAACCTTCATTCATACAATCAATACGTCCATCACATACTTCACGCCAATCAAGACAGAATGGTTTGTCACCACGATCACATTTTATATGAATATAACATGGTAATTCTATCGACATATTTGATGAATCATTTAATGATTTTTTTTTTTATATTAAATTCATTTTCAACAATATCATTTATTGACATATATTCACTATATTCAAATGAATATTGACATTTTAAACCAAACCATGGTTTTGAACAATTCCCAGTCAGACAAGACTCTGAAAAAAACGCGTTAAAACGCATTAAAA